CATTTCTACAAATAAATAAAAGAAGAGGCACATTTCTTAAATAAATAAAACAGTTTGATATTCCAAAAAGATAGAGAAGCTAATAGATCCACCTAGGTTCACCATTCAGTAAAAATGGGAAGAAATGAACTCTAGCTTTCAGCTTTTCTTACCGATCCATCATCCAATGAAAATATCCATCGTAAATACTGTAATAGTACCCCACCGCCCCAAAAGTTTTTTAGTATTTCATTTTTTTCAAAGCACCCGTACTTTCAAAAAATGCGTCTTTGGTATGAAAAAATAGCCCTGAATTTCAGCTATTTTTTTTGATAACTAAGCACGCATTGTAGCATAAACCAGTGTCGATCAATAATCAATAATGAATCAATAATGAACATCAATAATGAAATAATGAACTGGGTTGATGTTGACCTGTTCTGGTCTCCTGTAGGGCCAGATCAACTGTGAAGCCAATCTAATCACCGCCAATCAGCTCTGGAATCATTGGTACTGTAGAAATAGCTCTAATGATAATCCACAAATTCAAATTTAACACTGAAGAAAAGTGACATTGTTAAATAAACATTTTACGGTAGCTTTTAAGCAAGTTTGAAGGTTGACTTCAAACACACTAATCTTTACCCTCTAGGCTCAACTATTTTTGTACAATGTCTGCAATTCTTCTTAATCTAAAAAACAAACATTTTTACTTAAAACTGTACTAGTATACGATTTTGATAAGAGGAAAGAAAGAAAGAAAGAAAGAAAGAAAGAAAGAAAGAAAGATAAAAGAATGTAAATGGAATCATTTAATGAACGGCTCCATTCTGTCGGCAGTTTAGCCCACGCCGAAAGGACACAGCCGAGTACGGAAGAGGAGGGAAATTCCACGAATGATTGCTTTCTAATCTGACCTCTGCTCAAGTTTTTATTTAAAAATAAACACTCATTGTACAATTTTTTATGATATCTTTTGTTTAATAGAACAAAAAGCCATCTTTTAGCCATCTTTGAGCAAACTTGGTGCTTAGGATCACTTCAAAAATTAGGATCACTTCAAAATAAACACTCATTGTACAAATGCTCCCTCTTTTCCGCACTTATTTCTTCATTTTCTTCAACTAGAAACCGTGTTTCAAAAAAATACAGATTTATGCTATGCCAGAGGTCATGTGTTTTCATTTTTAAGCATGTACACAACTTTTTAAAAAGCAACTTGAACCTTGAATAGATTCAAAATTGATCTTGAGCTTGATTCCTTGATTTAACCATACTTTCTTACTTTCTTACTTACTTTCTTACTTACTTACTTACTTACTTACTTACTTACTTACTTAACTTTCTTAACTTCTCCTATTTGAAACCCTAAAATTGCCAGTTTTCTAAATGTGACTCAACTCGGGGGAAATTCCCGTGAATCTTCTGCCCAATCCCCATCCAATGACTTTCTTTAACCTTATATCTTTTTCAGGTTTCTTTTCTTTTACCTTTAATTGGCAACATTTTCTGATGACCTATGAGTGATTTGGATAAGATTTGGGGAGAAGGTTGGCATTGGGGTTAATTGAATCATCGTTTACTTGGGGAACATCTCGAGAAGTTCTCTAGTTTCTCTAGTTCAGCTTCTGATAGACTAAACCCAATAGAAAATTAGACCAGACAAGCTCAGAACCAGGCCAGGTCAGTCTGATTGGTTTAGAACAAGGCCAGGTCAGTCTCATTGGTTTAGAACCAGGTCAGGCCAGTCTGATTGATTTAGAACCAGGCCAGGTCAACCTAGATGGCTCATAGCCAAAGCCAGCCCAGATCAACCAAACTTAAATCGGCCAAATTCTAAACCAACCAAATCTAGATCAGTCATTTGTTAGCCTAACCAAGTTCCATGCTTCATTAACTAAGCGCAACATATCCTTATCTGAACCCTGATCATTTACGTCTTTTCAAGACTTCAAATCCAAAATTGTTTGCGAATCTCATCCAAGAAACATCAACTATTCGATGTCCTCAATGAAACCAATTCATCAAAAAGCAGGTCATCTCCATTGCCGATGGGCAAGTAGAAGATTGAGAACTGAATAGAGTAGTTCTCAAGTAGAATCTCTTGTTTTTTCTCAGGCTAATCTCTCACTCTCTTGACATTTCCTCAGGGCATGAGAACAGGTGTCCAAACCCAGATCTCTTCCCAATTTCTTGACAATTCCCATATCTCGTTTAATCGTTTCGAGGATTAAGAAGATAGATTTTCAAGTTTTTGAGTGTTTAATCCAATCCGCAAATGATTAGAGAGATTTTACTGTAATTTAAGCAATCATTGCAAAGATTTATTGATATTGTGATGATATCCTGAGATCTCTTGTGTTTTTAATCCGTTTCTAAAACGTGTCACCTTTCAAAAAGCTACTGTAGTCTTGAATTTTTAGTTTAATTTATTGATATTAAAGGAGCATTATGATATCCCCGAGGGATATGATATCATAATGCTACCTACAGTACCTTAAAGTCCTTAAAGTCCTTAAAGTCGAGCTTCTTCCCCATGATAGCTTTTCTAAAACTTGTCAACTTTGATAAACTATTGTATCTTGCCTTGAGATTTATTAGAGATTTATTATTGGTCTGATTCTGTATCATAAATGAATCCACATTAAATAGCCATTGCATTTAGTCAGTGTACTCAAAATGGCTTTAGTGATAATCGTGTCTAGGTCGAAATGGAGATTTGCTAATGACAAGATGATACAATTCCAGATTTGTTTATGCTTTAAGCTACATGAATCAAGTCTTAACCTGATCTCAGTGAGAAACTGGGGAATGAGAGCTGCGAATTAAAGAGATTGGAGGCGGAGCTATGCAGATGTCTTTCTCTTTCCCTATTTCTTGTGAGTACAGGCAGACCACCAAGGTGCAAGAGATGAGAAAGAAATGGAAAAGATAAAGAAGAGATGAAGAAGAGATGGGAAAGAGATCCATAAGAAATGGGGGAAGGGAGGGGATGGAGGGGATGGAGGAGAGGAGAAGAGGAGAAGAGGAGGAGAGGAGGAGAGCGGTGGAGCCCGCCCCTTCTGGGGTCATTGCCTCATCCCCCTCTTCTTCTCCTACCACATTTGGGCCAGTCGGCTGATTTTTTTTTGGATCATTTACCCAGTTGCCTTAACTTTAGGCTGATTCGTTACATGGTAAGGAATCTCCACATCTTATCAGTTGAAGATCAGTGCCGCAACTCAACTCTTTTCATTTTTCCTGATTCGACAGCTTTAGATTATGACTTTAGCTTTAGATTTAAACATTTCTCGATATTTGACAGCTTTAGATTATAGATTCTAGTTTTTTACCTGTATAAGATCACTATTTACTCTCTTTCTTCATGCCCATTTATTGGTATCGAGAATCGCCGCTGGCGAAGGCTTCAATTGACAATTAACTGCTCTTTTATCTGGATGTTTATGAAATTATAATGGCTAGATAATAGAATTTAATAGTTAGATAAAGATTCTAACATTTCTTCACTTTATCCACTAGAGTTTCCTTCTCAAACTTGAGCTGAAGTTGTCTCTTTTTTTGATTTTTCTTTCCTTACTTTGAATTGCCTTTATTGAAGTGTATCTTAGATATCTTAAAGCTTAAATAAATCTTAAATGTATCTTAAACATCTCCTTATCTAATTTGAATTTAGATTTTATCTCTTTTTTATTTATTATTTCCTAATAGAGTCCGAATTCAAATTCCCCCAAACCACGTGGTAAAGAAAGTGTTCAAAAGAATAGTTAGAGATTTAGAAAAACAGAAATATTATGGAATAGAGATTGAGAAAAGGATAGAAAATGGTGCAGAATCTCTTTTTTTTCTCTTTTTATGACTATTTCGTAACTTGTTATTGCATACCCTTTCCCCTTTTGAGATTCAAATTGTAGGCTCTTTTCGAGATTCAAAAATTTTCCTTAAAAGCTTTCATTCAACTATTATAACTTTCAATTTATGTTATCTTTCTTGTTTTAAAATTTTGATTATTAACTTTGATTATTATTAAATTAACTAGCTTTTAACTATCAACTTTCTAATTAACTTCCAACCTATTTAAGTATTCAGTACAGTAGCCAGCACGCTTATTTCAACCTATTTAAGTATTCAATATAGTAACCAGCACAGTACCATTCTAGATTTTGATTTATCCTTGATTTAAGAAGGCTTTACATCCCATTCACACAATAGAATCCCCAAATGATTCAATGAATTTTGACTTTCTTATCGAAACTCTGTAGTCAAGAGTCCAGTCAAGAGTCCATAGTCTTCACAATGCAATTATCCAAATGATCTCGAAATCCAGCGCATTCTCGAGACTCCTCCCCCCTCCCCAATCACATCAAAATTTCCCATCTTGATCGATTAACCACCTCAACTTTTTTCCATCTATAGAGAGTGAAAAAATTTCTCCAATAGATCGTAATCGAAGTGAGAAAGGCGCAAAAAAAACCATTCTCACCTCTCCATGGCGGAACATCGCAAGAAAAAGTGAGAAGTTCTCAAAAAAAGCTGTCAAGTCTAGTCTGGCTTTTTTAAAATACAAATATTGATGGGTGAATGGATAAGTTGTAGGTTTTTGGGGCACTGGATTACTCTATATAAGTGGGTCTAACTGGGATCATTTCTTCTCTTGAACTTACTGATCTTGTGCCTTGTGCCATAGAACTATAGAACTCACTTATACAACTTATAGAAGTTGATTTGTATTTTGTGGTCTAGTATTTGAAGTCTTAAACTTTCCACTCACCTCTGGATCTTGGCCTAAATTTGGCTAACTGGCTTGGGTATCTAGGCTTGGGTATCTAGGCTTGGGTATCTAGGCTAGTTTGCCAAACTGGCCTGGATTCAGCTAGGCTTACATCTGGGTTTTTGCTCAGCATTGTCTGAGCCTGAAGCCTTGGAATTCTGTAGATCAAAGAAGGCTTCTCATTGATTCTTTCACCTTTTCTAACTGAGCTAAAATCGCATAACTTTCCGATTGCAGTGGCGTTGCGCGAAAGATGGCGTTGCGCGAAGTGTTTGGGCAGACGTCGAGCTCATCCTCTTCATCGCATCCACGCTATCACTCATTCTCGATCACCACATCTCCATCAAATCTCTCATCATCCTATTCCTCGACTTCATCAAACGATTCGTGGGAGTTGTCAATTGGGAATCTCGGTGTGCACGACTATCACTTCACCCAAGTCACTGATCGTCTTACATCGACTCTCAGGTTGAGAAAAAAGCTATAAATAGATTATAATTTAATCTACATCTCATATCTATTTACCTATCTACAATAGTTTAAATATTCTTTTAAAACATAAAATCATATAGCCAGGCAAGTCATCTTTCCAGCACAAGGCTTTACTCTAGTCTCTTAGTTCTCTTCTTAGTCTTATCTATTCCATTTGTACTTTACTGTACACTTTACAGTCTGGTAGTAACTCTAAGACATAATTATGCATATAAATTACATAATTATATGCAAATTTTTCTAATTCTTATGCTTTAGATGCGCCGAGATGCTCTCCGATTCCCCGTCGACGTCCTCGGAGAACGCGGCTCAGGTAAATTAGACTGTACACTGCAAATTTGCATCTCTATTTTACAAAATACAATCCAAAATACAATAGTACTTATCTGCTAGTTATTTACATATCTAGATAATTCTACATAGAAGAATTTAGCTATTCAACCCGAATGGTCAACGCCGTCGCTCGGCGCGCGGCGTTCTCCAACCCGTTCAGCCACCACCGGAGCCCATTGCTCGACCGCTTTGCCAGGTAAATTTTCGAATTAAAGTTTTAAAGAATATATCTAGTTTAGTTTTCTTTATCTAATTCTAATTCTAATTCTAATTCTAATCTCAATCCAATCGTACGATCATTTTTCAAAAAAAACATCCCGGCTTCGGTTTTGAAAAGTTTGCTCGGCAAGGGTTTTTCTACTTTTCAAACCTTTCCTCGGAACCAAAAAGACAAAAAAAAACACAAGAAAAACACAAGAAAAACGTAAGAAAATCGTTTATAAAAAGAGTTTTCTCATTTTTCTTTCTTTCTTTTTTTTTCTGTTTTCGATGTTTCGCTTACGCGTTTTTACCGATCTCTCGGCAACGATGCCTCAAAGAGATTAAAATGGGGAAAGAGTGAAGAGAGATTGCAAAAGAGTCTGACATTTATTCTTTGTTTTAGAAAGTATGTAATAATGTTATTGATAAATTATCGAATTTGAAAGTTTTATATAGAGCTGGATAAATGTTCTTTAGGTTTAAAGATTAGATCTAGATAAAAACTAGAGCTTTAGATTTGGATTAATGAAAATCATTTTTAATTAATGGAAAGGCATTCTTATCAAAGGTTTTTTTGATGAAAATTTTAGCAGAGTACACAGATATTTACGTTACGCAGCTAGTTCGCTGAATAGTTTTTATTTAGAAAATTTATTTCCAGGCCAAGCGCCGTTCGTTGGATCAACGCCTGAACACTCCGCAGCATGCGTCGATTCGGACAGCTGTTTTGGATCGCGGCATTCACGGGAACAAGCTCGGATTTGTGAATCTGCTGAAAGCCGAGGTTTGAGAAAATCAAAGTTATCTATTTTGACAAAATTCTGGATAATTTAGTTATAAAAGTGGTTAGAAGATGTCATTATAAATGAAGATATCATTAAAAGAAGAAGTCATTATAAATGAAGTGAAAGAATTGACAAGAAAAAGTAGAGTTCCGGAGAGGGGATCGAACCCCCGACCCCTTCCTTTCCTCGAGCTTTCGCTTCAGACCCTCTAACCACTGAGCTATCTGGTACCTGACTAAAGGCAAGAAAAAAGGGGTATAAGAGAGAAGAGAAGGAAATACTCTGCTCTTCACTCTAATTCATCCAATATCTGTACAAATACAGTTGAAGCCAAGCCAAGCTTGGTGCCAAGCCAAGCCAAGTTATCTGTACTCAACCAGTCTTCCATCCCCACCTTTCTTGAGCAATGCAATCTTCTTTCCTCATCAAAAAAAACTCACAAAGACTTTCTTCAGTGAACAGATCCGAAAAGGAATCGCGGCATAATCGCATCTGTTTGCCGGGTGTGGGTTGACCTCCCGATCACCTTCCTTTTACCCTTCAGCCGATCTCTTCACTTATCCAATCTATCACCATTTACCGTCTCTTTACCGTATCCCATCCCCCGTCTCTTCAGCTCTCTCAATCTTTTCTTTCTTTGTCCCCATCCTTTCGCGCATTGGCTTTCCTTTCTATTCCGCAAAAAAAATCTTGAAAAAGTGCATGGGATTTCCGTAGTTCTAAGAGGTTGTTCTTGTGTTGGATATTGAGTAGGGGAATTGGGGAATTGGGGAATTGGTGGTGCCAGGGGTGAAGCACTACAAGAAATTTAGGGAAATGGCATGAGAATGTTGTGTGAAGGCGTATCTAAACTTTCAAAGTTGTACTACTAAACGAATATTGTAAGGTCTACTGTATCTAATATAATAGATCTAGTTTCCTGCAAGACTTACTGTATCTTTGTTAGGTTCTAACAGATCCATTGGGTTTAGTTGTACGACTGGATTAAGGGACAGTGAATTAAACGGATAGAGATCTACTTTATTTAATGTAATAGATTTAATTAGATCTTGAATTCCTCCTAAATCTACAGCATTTTCTTATCCGAACAGATCTATTGGATTACTTGTAACATTGGATCAAAGGTTGTTACTGAAAAAGGAGCCTACCGCAGTCCCTTTCTCCACTCGACTCCTTTCCTTTCCTTTCTTTCCTTTCCTTTCCTTTCCTTTCCTTTCTTTCCTTTCCCTTCCTTTCCTTTCCCTTCCTTTCCTTTCCTCCTATCAAAGACATGCCCATTTGCATGTTGATGGGGTCGATAGATGTTGGAGAATCCTTACAATCTTTTAAAAAAATCAAAACATCCCCGGGATTTCTTCTTTCCTTTGATTTCAGTCTTGGATAACCTTGATTTGGACACAAAGGACCTATCGGGGTCAGCGGTCAGTTTTACCGCACTTTGCACCAAAATTGCAAAGGAAAATATTAAGACAAATATCTATTCGAGTACAAAAAACACTTTTTTACATACATTACACTTTTAAAGTAGACTTTTAAGACAAGAAATTATCCTGGAGAAGCCTGAAATTTGATTAAAACTAAAACTAGAAGTTGCTAGGCTAAACTTTAAGATACAGGATCAACTATTGTAAGACAAGATTTCGGTAGGATTACTGTAGAATTCATACAGTAATCTACTTTACTCTAGTAATCTATTTTTCTCTTCTAGGAGGACACTGGCGTTAACTCGCACTATTTCGAGGCGATTCAGGACGAGCTCGAGGTGAAGCACCGAGAACAGGCAGTCGATTGGCTGTTTGACGTGAGCAAGGATGTAAGTAGATTATTTGAATATTATTTATCTATTTTATCTTGATTTTTCAGTGTCACGCTGACCCAGGAGTGCTCCCGTTGGCCGTTTCGCTGATGGATCGTTTCCTGTCGATTCAGCAAATCTACAAGAAAGATATCCAGGCGCTAGCTGGCACGTGTTTCTTCATCGCTAGCAAGATGAAGGTTAGTTATTTGTTCTTTTGATAAAGTATAAGATATAAGTACCACAGTAACGGGCAAGACAATAGTCCATACCCATGACAAAAGCTTTTGGCCTAGCCTGATCCTGTCCTGATTCAAAACCCCGTTGTTTACTCTAGCTAAATTTCTGCACTGTACTCTAGCCACAGTAATTTGTACTTGACTGTACTGTACTAAAGCTGGAGTACTGTTTATCTTATAGCCAGCTCTAGGTCATGCTCAAGATCTTCTTGGCTAGACTCTAGTCTAGCCAAGAAGACCTGGTCATCAAGGCTAGTCCAGTGAAAAAAGCTGGGAGCAAAGCTAATCCCGGAATAAACCAGCTTTAGCTTGCAGAATCAATATCTAGAATACCATATCTAAGTAACAATATCTAGTTTTTCTCCTCATTAATCTAAACTTCATTTCTAGGAACCCCAACCCTTAAACGCGCGCAAGATGAGCGACTACACGGTCAACACAGTGTCCGTTGGAAACATTTTGGTAAGCTAAAGTTGAATGCTCAAGACTCTAGCCTAGCCAAGAAGACCTGGTCATCAAGGCTAGTCCAGTCGTCGATCCTTGAGGCCGATCGTGCCGGGACTCGAACCCGACACCTCTCGCTTACTGGAAAACGCTCTACCAATGAGCTACTAGCACATTGGTAGAGCGCACATTCCATTGCCACCAGCAAAGAGCTTCATTCATCGAATCTTTACAGAGTTGGGAGCTCTTGATCTGTTCCCAATTGGAGTGGGATATCTCTTCACCAACCGGTGTTGACTTCTTCGATTTCATCTCGGCAAATTATCCAAATTTGTCTATCCTTCGTGGCAGCTACCTCGAGATTCTTCATCGAATGCAGAGATGTATATTTTAAACTTATAAACTCAAAGACTCAAAGACTAGCATTTAATAAGCTTACATCTTCAAATGTCCTTGAGAAACTTGAAAAGAAAAGGTTTTCTGAAAATGAACTCGTTTCTCGTCAATGCCACACAAGTGGTTGTAGAAATTTTGGAAGAAAATCATGGCATTAAAGCCCGATTCTCTTTCCCCATATCTCGGTCATTTATCTGCATTTGTGAAAAGAAAAGATGCACTTTTTTGTGAGGGTGAGACTGGGCTTTTTGCTTTTTTTTTCTCGAAAAAGAAAATGTGCTTACCTGAGTGGCACACGACTCTTTTTTTTCTAGCTACCTTTAAGGAGTGAAATTTGCCGACACGATCAAGGCAACATTAGTGGGATAGAGGAAATAAAATCAGCTTTAATCTATAATGAGACAAAATACAGTGGGCTGAAGCTAAAGCTACCTAAAGTTAAAGCTAAAGCTACCTAAAGCTAAAGCTAAAGCTACCTAAAGCTACCTAAAGCTAAAGCTACCTAAAGCTACCTAAAGCTATCTATTAGCTACTACTAAAGCTACCTAAAGCTACCTAAAGCTAAACCTAAAGCTACCTAAAGCTATCTATTAGCTACTACTAAAGCTAGCTAATATTTTAATGAAAACCTAAATAAAATTGTTTCCTAAATAGTGCATACAAGAGTCCAAGAGGCTTATCTCTTTGAGAAGAGATTTTAAGTGTAATCCTAAAAGTAGAGGTGTTCTTTCTCTAAGAACGTCTCGTTTTTTTTCCTTTTTCATCTCTACCGACTCTTTTCTCTTTAAAGTACAGGTGGACGGGTTTTTTTCTTAGTTTTTCTAGTATTGAGGATTGAAAAGGGCACAGTGGGTGGTCGTTTTCATCTCTTTTCCTTTACTTCTTAAAACTTTAGGGACTTTTTCAGAAATTTTCTCAAAAACCCAGCTGCTCACCTACTTTTTGAGGAAAAAAAAGCGGACATTGAAGCCAATTTTTTTGGGAGAGAGATTTGGGGAAGAATCTGGATTGATTGGTTTATGAATGAAATACCGTCTAATAGATAATGAATAGATTCTAATAGAGTCTAATAGATTATAGAAAAGTTGTCTAACCTAATAGATATAAGTAGATAATAATAGATAATAGATAATAGATAATAGATCATAGGCAATAATGGATAATAGGCAATAATAGATAATAATAGTAGTTTAATAGATAATAATAGTAGTCTAATAGATAATAGTAGCTGTACAAAAGTCAGATCGAATTTGAATGCCAAAATGTGCTTCAGTCTATCCTATCCAATCGGGATTCGAATGATTCAAATCATTCAAATCAAATCAAATCATTCAAATCATCCAATCCGTATTCTCTAAATACATCTAAATACTCCTTTTGAATCTATTTTTCCTTATTCTAAACGTATCGATCCTTGGTAACCTATGTGCGATCATTTTAACCATGCGCAACCATTCGCAAATATTCCCCCAAATTTGCATGACCCTTTTTTCTCGGGTTGTGAAAGTGAAAAATTCGTCTTTCTCAAGAAATTGACCCTCAAACGTCGAAAGAAAAAAGAAAAGAAATGATCACACCCCATCAACGATTTTTTGGCGGTAAAAAGAAGCCTGACCGATGCAGTCGAAAAAGTGGGCCATTTTTAGGGAGCTGAGAATTGGATTCAATGTGAAGTAGAAGAAAAAGAATAAAGGGACAGATGGTTTTTCGGTGATTGATAGGTGAAGAGATTAGTGGGGAAAGCGGTAGGGCTATTGTTATTCATTGCTTTATTATTTAGAGTAAAGGTTATCTATAGCAGCTTGTCTAAAGTAAAGCTTGTCTATAGCAAAGCTTATCTAAAGTAAAGCTTGTCTAAAGTAAAGCTAGTCTAAAGCAAAGCTTATCTAAAGCAGCTTATCTATAGCAGCTTATCTAAAGCAAAACTTATCTTTCTAACTCAAGAGCTAGTCAAGCTAAAAGTCTAGATAATGGTTGTTTACTTTGGTGGATTGTAGATTGATTGTAGACTTAACTTTTCAGAGCTTAACTTAACTTTTTAGTTTTCTTAGTTGATTATTCAGGTCTGCTTACTCCAATTCTTTTCTGCTTACTCCAATTCTTTTCATCTATAAATCGATTAGCGAATAAACAAGTAAAGAAGAAAAAAAAAGAACTTTTCGACTAAGATACACTCTCCATCACCCCAGTGAAAGTCCAAGCCTTCTTTGTCCCAACTTTGCTTTGCTTCCCCCCAAAAGAAAAGTCACTAGGTCAATCACCTTTTCTTCAACATTTCTTCCAGTACGTTTCCCCAGTTTCGAAATTCTCTAAATCATTTTCCGAATCAGTGATTCATTTGATCTACAGCAATGAAAACAGGAGGCTCTCAAAAAAAAAAGAAAAATTTGCATTTGAATGTAAAGAAAGAGCTTTATGGGTGAAGAAAACCTCAACTTTTAAGAGAAAACAAGAAAAAACGAAAAACGAAAGAAATTTGTAGAAATTTGATTTTGACTTTTCTTGTAATTCAGCTAGCTCTAGTATCTGTAAGGTTGTTTGTAAGTACTGCAGTAGTTGTATATAGGTGTCAATTGTTTCTATAAGCTGTGATCGTTCAATCTTGTAGGAAAAGTACTGTAAATAAGTGTGATAATGCTTTAGAAGTGTTAGATCATTACTATAAAGTCTTAAAAGTCATCTAAGTTACTTATAGTTACTTATAATTACTTATAGCTACTTATAGTTACTTATAGTTACTTATAGTTACTTATAGTTACTTATAGTTACTTATAGCTACTTATAGCTACTTATAGTTACTTATAGTTACTTATAGTTACTTATAATTACTTATAATTACTTATAAGTTACTTATAAGTTACTTATAAGTAATCTAAGTATAGTATAAGTAGTCTTATAGTATTCTCCTTGATAAAAATGACTTTATTACAATTGAAAGATGTTTCATTCTTTGTCTCATCTCTCGCAAACATGTGACAACATCTGGTGGCTCCTTTCTGTTCATTGAGAGAAAAAGCGGCATTGTTTGATCGAAGAAATCCCTTTAAATGAATCCCTTCCGTCTAAATGAAGTCAGGTCAAATCTCTGTTGCATCGAATAATTGCTTTGATTCAAAAAAACCCCCATCTAGTACTTGAGTACTCATCGACTTACTTATAGCACATGGTTAGAAATTTGAGAATGACAAAAGAGAGTTCTTAAAGAAAGAGAGAGATCTCTTTCTTTGATAGCTTTATTTCTTTGAGTAGTTACCGCTTTATGACTACTATAGGACAAGTATATGATCCGGGATGACCTTTTAAAGACTCTTTGAAAAGAGAGGATGAAGAGTGACCTTGGCAAGGGACAAGCAATGGAATTTACTTTAACTTACTTACTATTAGAGCTCTAGATTACATTAACCAAGTGCTGGAGTAAGAAATTTACAATAAAGCATTACAATACTACAATACTATTGCTGATCTTGTACTGCTACTGCTCTAGAACTGCTAAAGGATCTAGAATTCTCGTATTGACACTCATAAATGATCTGAAGCTGGGATTTGGTGTAACTTGTACTCCATAATAGCTTTACTAGTTGTAGATGTAGCTTTACCAGTTGTAGATGTAGCTTTGCTAGTTGTAGATGTAGCTTTACCAGTTGTAGATGTAGCTTTACTAGTTGTAGATCTAGCTTTACCAGTTGTAGATGTAGCTTTACTAGTTGTAGATCTAGCTTTACCAGTTGTAGATGTAGCTTTACTTCTTGTACCTTTCTGTACAGTATTTCTGTATAGTACTTGAGCACTATAGTGTTATAGTAACAGTGATCAGGCACTTTACATAGTAACTCAAGTACTATCGGACACATTTATACTTAGCCTATCCACATGTTCTTTAAAATTCAAATTCCCTTTCCCCTCAAACCGCAAACCCTTTCTCAACCCTTTTTCTTCAACACAAATCACTCATTTACTTTCAATGCATGCCAAAAAAAAAAAATGGAGGGAAATGTTGGTGGTGGTGTGAGTGACTAATTACGGGACAAAAACACAGCGGGAGTTTTAAGGGCTGATGGAGAGAAGTGTTATGAGCCAGGAATTGTGAGCACTTATGCAAATATGCCTTCATTTTTATAGATAATGGATGTGATGGGCTAATGAATAGGCAAATCTTTGACTGACTTTTTTTACATTTCATGATCTCGGTGACATACAGCTGTGTGAGCTTTTTGGATAGGTCACAAATTGGGTCACAAATACAGCTAGTACTGACTAGCCGTGATACTTGGTAAGTCTAAAGTGCTTTTTGAAAGATTGTAGAAAGCCTATGGTCTGCCAGTAAATAGCAATAGAAGCTACGTTAAAATACCGTCATAGTTCTGTACATAGCTGTACATTACTGTAGCTGTAACTGGCTGTGTAGCTGAGTAGCTGCAACTGCTGTAACTGGCTGTAGCTGTAGTAATGTGTATTCAATTCCAAAATCCGTTATCAGGCATTTCAAATACCAGCTTTTTTTTCTCCACCACTCACTCCTTTGTTCTCCTTCCGTAGCGTGGGAAAATAAAACTTTTTACTTCTCAATCGGCTTTTAATCTAAGCGATCATTTGAATCGTAGTGCCATTTAAGGCCAAGTAATCCTAGTACCATTTATGGCCAAGAAATCCTAGCGCCATTTAAGGCCAAGAAATCCTAGTGCCATTTAAGGCCAAGAAATTCTAGTACCATTTAAGGCCAAGAAATCCTAGCGTCATTTAAGGCCAAGAAATCCTAGTACCATTTAAGGCCAAGAAATCCTACTACCATTTATGGCCAAGAAATCCTAGTCCCATTTAAGACCAAGAAATCCTAGCGTCATTTAAGGCCAAGAAATCCCAAGTGCATTTCAAATCCGATTCATCTTGTGAGCCTCTAATTAAAACATAAAAAAAACATAAAATTTGCGGCTTGCTTAAATATGGTAGAAGATAGGAAAGACTGTAATTAGAGGCGCATTCATTCGCGCTCATTACATATGATGTGGCTAAGACAGGGTAAGGGCTAAAGACGGCAGCTGTTGCATCGGCCTCCACATGCCGACACTCCTTCCCCTACACCTTAGGTCTTCTCTTTTTTTCTTCTTTGAATTTGAATTGAGTCCATACTTTGATGGGCAGAGTCAATCAGATGAATACGGTAATGGGGGAAAAGCTTCAGCTTGAGCATAGGGATCTTCTACATTTCTCTATTTCTCGTAATGCTTTAGGAATACTGTAGCTAGGGTCATACTGTAGCTAGAATCATACTGTAGCTAGATAAAGTCAGACTACAGTAGCCAGCCTACAGGAGACAGACTACAATAGACAGTCTATAGTCGACAGTAGACAGTATACAGTAGACAGCCTACAATAGACAGTCGACAGTAGACAGCCTATAGTAGACACTCTACAATAGACAGTCTACAGTAGACAGTCAGCTAATAGGTACGGTAGATGAAAGTACGGTCATGTACAAGACTGGCGTTACAGTACAGACTACAGTAATCAGTACAATAGTACAGTCCTTTCAAGTCTAAGCCTAAGCCTGGTTAGATTATTTAGCCAATTCACATTTGAAACTACTGTAGTAGAAAGTTTTAAGACAGTTGTAAGCTTTAACAACTTTCCTAACAAATCTAATACTAAACCAAACATTTCTAACAGTTCTAATCTAACAATTCAAACTTTAACTAATAGTACATAGTACATAGTCTTGCTAATAGTACAATGAATGACTAAGCTCTAGGTGATTCTTGAAATTTCTTTGAAAGCAGATCAAAATCTTTTTTTAAAAAATATTTCGACCTTACAAAAAGAGGATCTAGAGGTCACTGAAATCATTACTCGTCAAGTTACAGTAATCCCTTCATCATGAAGAATTTCGCGCCTTGTTTCAATGGAATTAGGTGTGAAAAGCGCGAAAAAATGACTCCTCAGATATTTTCTAGAAAAAGAAAGAAAGTAAAAGAAAGAAAAAGAAAGAAAGAAAAAGAAAGTAAAAGAGAAGTTTTGCCAAGGTGTTTTTGAGCGAAAAAAACGATCTTATCGCATTTTTCTTTGAAGAAAATCGAATTTTTCATTTCCAAACTAACGAGGCGACGCCTGGAAATAGACACATTAAAGGGATAAAGTTTTAAGGCAACAATTTAGTGTTTAATGGTTGATCTAAAGCATACTAAATCCAGCATACTAAATGCTAAAACTAGTTTAGCATATAATAAAGTTTTATCTTTAGATTTACCTTCTCTTTTAGATGAAAATCAAGCTCTTTGCCTTTGCCTTTGCCTTTGCATACAAAAATCAACATCTTTTTATCTCTTTTCAAATCCAGTTCACCAAATCATTCAAAATTTCAATCCTTTTTGAGTCTTCAGTCTTGAGTCTTGAGTCTTTAGTCTTTTCAATTTACTTATCCAAGTATTGAGTAAATAAGTAACTTCAAATATCATGCCATCGGCAATCCCTTTGCGTAACGCTAAGCAAATAAAAGAACTCAAGTTGATTACCACTTGAGGATCCGATTACTAGGCTTTTTTTTTTGAATAGAAATTCAAAAAGCGGTACTTTATAAGTTCTTTGAGTTGAACAAAGGGACGCTCATTGTTTGAAGTGTTATGAAAGAGGCCACAGATTGCGCCAATGGCAACTGTTTGGGGGGAAAGGAGAGCTTCGAGACACCGCAAAAGGACAAAGATGACAAATGTGATGATTGATGAATAAAAAGGATTTCAAAATTTTAACCCACAGTACTTGCGATAGTTGGGGAATTGATTTAGATTGATTTGGATTGCTTTAGATTGCTTTAGATTGCTTTAGATTGCTTTAGCTGCCCGTAGGTGTACTGTGCCACTTTCTTTCATATGCAAATGTATTTTTGACTAACTTTAAGTACACAGTACAACTTTAAGTACAAGTTTATGGATGTTTAAAGAATTTACATTGATGCAAAGTGAGTTTAGAATTATCTAAGACTTTACCTTTGCACTTATTGTAGAGTTTGATTGATTCAAAGATTGATTTTATATTTAAACCATTAATCTCCTTCCCAAACAATAGGGTTTTCTGTAATCGGATATCAGAGATTCCCATAGATTGCCTAGATCCCAGAGATTGATTTGTAGAAAAGGAAAGATATCACTCTGGCATAAACACACGAAACAGACACCCACTCAATCTTCGGGGGGAGAAGCTGAAAGAGAGCTGAGAGGAGAGAGCAGGTGATTTGTGTGACTTCAACAATATGGCCTTTAACTTGTCTTTAACAATATGGCCTAAATATCCCATTGTCATTTAAAGAACATATTGTTTTTTTTTTGAAGGAAACTGTAGGCATTCATTCAACACTCAAGAATCAAATATTCTTTTTTCTTTTCTGGAAAAATCTTTGCCGGCTATGAAGAGCCAAATCTAGGATACGGATCGGAAAACAGACACGCGACAGATTTCCTTCGATCTCAGGCAGATTTACGAGCTCCACTTTGAGGCAAAACATCTTGAGAATAGGAAAATAATAAGACAAAATATTTAGTATAAGAGGGGATATTTAGCTCTAGATATTTAGCACTTTTAGCTCTTAGCAATAGCTCTTTTAGCTATTAACAATAGCTCTTTTAACTTCTCACAATCAAACCGTTAACCAGATCTTCCAGATCTTGTAATACACATCTAGATCGTTAGATTTGATCTAGATCCAATACAATATTTATCTAGATAATACATATCCTGATATTCCAGTGGCTCCCTTAGCTTCTCATTGCTTCAAATCCAAGCATTCACTTGTAACAACTGCCACACCAATATATCCTCAAACAAGTCACTGAAACACATGTTGTTTAGCTTCGAGTGTGGTCTATAGGAAAATTCTTCAGTGAAACGAGTAAAACAAGGTTATCTTCAAGCTAATCGCCATTGCCAGCCGGAAAGAAATGACAAAAAAAAACACTTGAATGGCGTTTGAAATGAGCCCTCCATATGTTGTCTCCAGAAATCTGGTTGCCTACCTCTTTTCCCTATAAAAACTCTTCTTTCACTTCTTTCACTTCTTTCAAATACTGTGCATGAGTTCTCCTAGTAAAAGAGCTAAAAAAACGTAGATAAAAAGATTCATAAAAAACGCGCACAAAGACGAGGGAGGGACACACATTTGTCTTTCTCATTTGGCAAGAGTTTTTTTTTTATTTTTGCGGGGATACGAGAAGGATTGAAAACTTTTGGAAAGGGGTGGGTAGGGATGGGATGGACTAGGATGGGTAGGGATGGATAGGACTAGGATGGGATGGGTAGGACTAGGATGAGCAGGGTAAACCCCAGGCTCGGGCATCTGCCAACCCTGAGATCCCCCGCTGAGATCTCTCAAATCTTTCACTCATTTGAGGGATAAGGTTGGGTTTAGAAATGGAATCGAAAAGGAAACTAGACAATTGTATAGTCTAAGAGTTGGCTAATGTTTTAATCTCCAGGCTCTATTCCAGAGTTAGACCTGACTAGCTTATCAGCTCCACTAGGTATTCAGTTATTCAATTGACTACTTTACACTTTACACTTTAGTTTACAGTTTACACTACTAGGTTTTACAGTATTAGACTATATTCTAGGTGTTTAGAAAAGTTTTTCATCCAGTTCTAGCTATAAGAATTATCTAATCTTGCATTGCTTTGCTTGGAATTGTTCAACGATTCCAGATCTTGATCTCATCCAATCTAAGAATTGTTCCAGATCCAAAAGAACTTGTTTATTGTTAGATTTAGAATTATGATAGTTCTTGATCAGTTCTATTAAAGTTCTTGATGTTAAAACAGTCTTGATCTAATCCAAAGAAAACCAAAAGCCTCAGAAAATACTTACACTTTCCAGATCCTGAAATTCTAAACTAGTTGCAAGCTTTGCGAGCATCATTCCACAATATCCAAGCACTGTTTCAAGCATTATTCAACCATTCAAGTACCCAGCTCTGTTACTTGATCTGTTACTCTGCAACGATAACGATAATTGACGATTACACCAATCTGCTCCAGTCACTTCTGACCTGATTGCCTCAATTATCGATCAGAGATCGGGGATAATTGTGTGAATTATTTGAAACGTGGCCTGAAGGGGTGATGGAGGGAAGAAAATGGCGCAATGACAAGCCTCTCTTAGACAATGAGGACACGTCACACGCTGTGAATTGAAGGGGAAAGGGGAAGAGAAGAGAAGAGAAGAGCAAAGAAAAGATTGAGAACAGGGGCACCTGTAAACATCCCCTCAGGTCATTCCTTCACCCATCCATCCATTCCCTTGAGAGGATTTGGGCACCTGGCGACCCAGTTTCTTGAGATGAAGATTTGGGTACTGTTGCGAGATTGTTTAAATCGGCTTCTCGGGTTCTAAAGGATAAGAATAGTAAGCTAAACACGGCTGTGAATATGTGAATATGGATTGTACAATGGCTACAAGTTTTCTTTTGCTTGGTGCTATTGCTACAAATTCTACAGTCTGTTAAATCAAAGCTACCCTTCAATATAGCTTTCCAAAGCTTCAATATAGCTTTCCAAAGCTTCAATAGCTTTCCAAAGCTTCAATAGCTTTCCAAAGCTTCAATATAGCTTCTCAAAGCTTCAATATAGCTTTTCATAGCCTTTCATCTCATTTCAATGAAACAAAAGGAAAATATGTGGATCGCTTGGGTTCCTGTTCTCGATTACGATCTCTAGAATGAATCTCTAGGATTCAATTGAAAATGAAAATGAATCCTCACACACACACAAAGCTTTCGAGCTCAATTCTAAATCTCTATTTTACAGCTCACAAATTGGCGATGTTTGTCCCGTCACTTCAATCGTGTCTCTCACTTCTTCACTCTGCCTCCAATCAACAGTCATCAAAGCTTCTTCAGGATGCTAGACACTGTATCTCCGAGTTCTTTCAGAATGAATTGGTTTGTGCAACTTTTCAGTTACAGTCTTTCTTTACTCTAAAACTTGAGCACTAAAACTCTGAAATAGCTCATCTAGTACAACTTTTAAACTGCAGTATTAGGACTAGTGTCTAGAAAGGCCAAACTCAGCCTAGAACTGTCCAGATGAAGTACAATACTTTAATACTTTTAGAGTACGTCTATATATTCTTCTTTAGAATCTTTTGGAGCCGTACTTGGTCGACATTGATATGTATTGTTTGGGGAAAAGACCACGCTATGGGCAACGAGCTCCACCCTCGTCGTCAGAGGAACGATCATCACCAGAGGTTGTTAATAAACATAATAAACAAAAAGCTACATAGCTACACAGCTACATAGCTACACAGCTACACAGCTACATAGCTACACAGCTACATAGCTACATAGCTACACAGCTACATAGCTACACAGCTACACAGCTACATAGCTACATAAACAATGAACAAGTGCGAACAATAAGTGCATTAAGCTGTCCAGAAAGTCTTTCTTTTCGTTTCTTTAGTGCATTATCTATTAAACTGTTCAGAAAGTCGTTTCTTTTCAAATTTCCGTTAAAAAATAACAAACTCATCGATTAAACAAAGTTCTAGATCTAGATTAACCGATCTATAAGTTCAGTGTTCAAATCTTTATAAGATTTGAACAAAGATGAGACGTCTAGAAAAGCTAGATCTGTATACAATCTGTTCTCATTCAGGTGTTCATCGATGTCGTGAAACCATCCTCGAATCTCCAACAAGATGTCCTCCTTTCCTCTTGTCGAAATTCCCTTCCCGCCACTCCACTCAACGATTCGGGTTTTTGTTCATCGATTGGCTCAACAGCTTGTTCACCCGATGGAACTCATCGTTTGACTGGCGCGATTCCCGATATTGATTCCGATTGTTCACCGCCGAAAATGAGGAGACTTTCCTCAGAATGAGGCTTTAAATCGACGATTTTCTATGAAATATTTCCGTCTATGTGATCTAATAATTCATGAAACCCTTATAATAATAATATTGAACATTATTGGAAAATAGGAAATGGTTACGGTATCTTCAGTTGATTTCTGTTTTCGATTTCGGTATCACAGATAATAGACAAGAGACAAGTACTGTACAATGCTGAAAGTCCATTCACAGCTATCGCAATTCGTTTCCATTCACACGTAGACGTACAATAGTTCAAAAGCATTCACAGCTGTGTCACAGAAAAGCTGTGGGATAGCTGAGCTGTGAATGGAAACGAATTGCGATAGCTGTGAATGGACTTGAGCATTGTACAGTAATGTACAGCATTGTACAGTACAGTATTGTACAGTACTGTACAGTACTTGTCCCTTGTCGATTAGCTGAATAATCTGTACAGTATAGGTTCCCGTAATCGATTTCCTATTCACCAACTTGTCAAACCACCGCCTTCTCCACTTAGCTAAACCAAAATCGATTCTAGGTTTGAGAAAATTCCCCCAAAACTTTTAAAATATCATTTTATTAGAATATTTGGAAAATTTAAAATGTTTTCAAATAACAATATTATCCCCGAACATTTATCCCAATTCTTAAACAACAAAAACGAGTAACTTTCACCGCTTCACTGAGTATCCCACACTCAAAACCCATTACCGTATCCCAATCTTTTCTTCAAATTACGTCTGTTCTTTTGTTTTGTCTTTATTCAAAAATTTACCTCTCTATATTCATCCGGTTCATTTTTTTTCAAAAAAAAAAGAAAAAAAACGATCGATTTTAAGAAATTTTCCTTAAAATTGATCCGATTTTTTGAGAAATTTTTCTTGTCATTATTTCGGTGCATTTCAACAAAAATTTATGACCAAATTTTTATCGTTTTTGGTCATTTTTCTCCAAATTTTTCCTCATTTCTTGATGGGATTGAGATTTTTTTTATTAACCCAAAAACTAACATATTATTTTATGCTTTTGTTCTTCTCCCGGCCGCGAGAAGCCCGTCTTTTAGCTGATCGATTGGGAAAGATTGGGGGGGGGATGTAATCCATGGATTATATGGATCGATGGATTACATGGATTGTAATCGATGGATTACATGGATTGTAATCGATGGATTACATGGATTGTAATCCATGGATTACATTCCATGTAATCCAATTACATTCCATGATTACATGAATTGTAATCCATGTAATCATAATCCATTTTAGCTATTAATCTTTACAGTAACCCGTTCAGTAAAGTATTTACAATTATTTATATTCGATTTGTTTCAGAAAATAGTCGAAATAGAAGCCATGAATGAAGGCTACCGGCTTCAACTTTATACTAACTACGGTAGAATCCCCTGATTTTCTCTAATAGTAGTGCACCCAGAGCGTTGTCTAAATTCCTCGAAAACTCGAGAACCGCTTATCAGAACCTATCAATGTGGGGTCGGAAAATGTAGCTGACGATGAGATCTTGTAGGGGATTAGAGTGTTGAGCTTCTGCAAAAGCTTGGAGACCGTAAAATAGTCATCAACTCGGCTCGGCGGGGTGCACTACTATTAGAGAAAATACTAAGGTTCTATTTAGCACTATTAGAAAGACTATCAGTTACGGCTTAGTTTTACTGGGTTACGGTAGTTTAGCCACCATTTATTTCCCATCGATCCAAAATCGACGTTTCGGCTTTTCGTGGAGGGAACGTGATTAGTCAAAGATCATTTTTTTTCACTTGTTTTTCTTCCACTTTTTATGTGTGATTTTGATTTGCAATTGAAGACTTTTATAAGACAATAACGTACTGTAAATACTGTAATTGGACCGTACATTTGCGTAGTCGCAAAAGTTTTTTAGTATTTCATTTTTTCAGCGTGTACTTTCAAAGCGCCCGTACTTTCAAAAAATGCGTCTTTGATATCAAAAAATAGCCCTGAATTTCAGCTATTTTTTGATACCTAAGCGCGCATTGTAGCATAAACCAGTGTCGAGAAAAACTCGTTCAAAGCTAGACTACGCAGCACTCCGCATCGTCATTATTGGAGTGGGGTACTATTACAGTATTTACGGTATATCAATCACTATTAAAATCATTTTTGTACATAGAGTAATCGTTTTTTTCAATAGTTTTCATTTGCTCATCTATCCAATTCCACTGTGTAAAGAACCCTAAAAAGGCAAAATTCCTTGAGAATTTCGACCGTCATTTCCTCGGTATATGCTCTTATTTTGATTTTTTTTCTTCTTTTTTATTTTTCTTTTTCAACATTGTTTATGTTTCAATTAATGCGATTTCACTTGCGAATAAAGTTGTGGTGCCAAAGCTTTAAGCCAATGAAGAATACAGGGAAAAATTTGAACAAAAACACACACATCATTTAACGATTGAATGATTGAAAAGTGATCTAATGCACCAACAATATTGCTATGACAAGGTTTGGAGAAATGCTCGGCTCGGAGAAATGGAGAAATGCTACAGAAATGCTGTTGAGAAATGCTCGGCTCCTATTCATCTATCTTCAATAACAACTAACTTTTGTACTACTTTGTACTGTAACGGACTGTACTTGGGAAGGTTGTAACTTGGGAAGGTTTCCCGGTTAGTGAAAGTCGAGTTAATAGAAATCAACTGAAGTAAAGATACAGTACTGGTCAATGAAATATCATATTTGAAAAACGATCGTCATTTTCGCGCGTCTGTAACTTCATTGTCTTTGAGTTTAAACTATTAGGTTGATGCAAAAGTCTTTTTCATTTTTTTCGTACTTCTTTTGAAAAATAACAAAGTCATCAATTAACCTATGGTTTGCTCTAAATGAAAAGTGTTTATTGTTGAATTTCCCATCTTTTTAAGTCAATTTGGGTTCACTTTCAAGCAAATTCGAGAGTGAAAACGGGTTTTTCATAAAAATCTATAAAAACCTCTATAAAGAAATTGGCTGAATCAATTTCTCTGAAAATCTGAAAAAATATCTAACTTTTTGTGCTCTATCTTTTATTTATTAACATCAAGATTGGTTTCCTTAGCTAAAGCGTCTAAAATGCATCATCGAGCCGTCGCCTTTTTTGACTACCCGACTTCAGACTCTCAAAAAATCTAGACATAAGACATTTTAAACTCGTTTTAATGTCATTTTGCAGAAAAATAATTGGCCTTTCGAATGCAATAAACCGTTGTTCAATTGGTGCATTTGTTACTTTTTTACGGAAGTACGAAAAAAATGAAAAAGACTTTTGCATCAACCTAATACATATTAGTGTTATACATTTTCTGAAAGCTCTTTTCATGGGCTACACATTGGTAATATTAATATTTAGAAATACGGTAAAGACAAGGGAGTTACAGACACGCGAAAGTGACGATCTTTTTTCAAATATCATATTTCATTGTCCAGTAGTGTAGCCCTAGAGTTAGCTCGCAACTTTCAAAACCAAAACCGATTCTTCTTTTCCGACTATTCTTTAGATTTACTCATTAATTTAGATTTCTATGAAGATTTCGAAGCGCAACTGACGCTGACTATTCGATTTCCCATCATTCCTTTCTTTGGAACAATTCAGTTTTCTCTTCTTTGATGATATCTACTTATTTATTGACTCATTGTTAATAAGAATTCACTGTTTTTTTCACTTCTTTCTTGAAATGACTTTCATTGTTTGTGCATTGTTTCCAATATTGTGCCCTATTTCAAACCCAGTCTTCACATTACTGTATGAGTGAAAAAGCGAAGGATTGAGGAGTCCCATCTTTTCCCCCACACAAATAATATAAAAAAAGAGAAAGAAAAGATGATAATGAGGCATTCATTTATGAGAAAAACGATGGTTAGGGGGAAAGGGAAAGAAGTAAAAGAATAAGAGAATAAGAGTAGAAAGGAGGGGAAAAGAGGGCAACATTTCGCGCCTATACCCACTCAAAGAGAAAGAAATGGGGATCGGGCCCGTTTTTGTGGCTTTTCCCCGCTACAGTCGATGTAAATGAGCCGGAATTCCTCGTCTGGGGATGATCAATCCATCCATCCATCCATCCGCTTATTTGATACTCATAAAGAAGCGACATCGATGGGTTTCTTTCAAATTTCAAAGCACTTACATACGGTAATAGTACCCCACCCTGGGGGTACTATTACCGTAATGACGGTGCGGAGTGTTGCGTAGTCTAGCTTTGAACGAGTTTTTCTCAACACTGGTTTATGCTATAATGCGTGCTTAGGTATCAAAAAATAGCTGAAATTCAGGCTTTCAGTCGATAAACTTTAAGAAAAAAAAAGTTTTTAGGCTTTTAAATGATACCAAAGAGGATTTAAATGATACCAAAGATTTAATTCTTGAGAAAATCAAAAAAGAATCGGTAGAATTAAAGTAAAACCCCATTGATGGTGTAAATTGTTGATTTTCTCAAGAAAAATCATTTCAATTAAACTCTTTTTGGTATCATTTTAAAGCCAAAATGTTTTTCTTTTAAAATTTTAAAAAAAGTAAATGAAAATTTTATTTCTAAGAAAAGTCTATAAACATTTAAAGTTTGTCATCTAGATATCTTTGTATCAGTTTGTCATTGAAAGCAATTCATTCATCTAAACCATAAAAGAGCCATATTTTTACTGTACAGAAAGTAAATTTCGTACAAATACCGTACTCTTTATCATACAAAAACTTTGTTGAAACTTTAGATTACTACTCTACTGTAAAAGTACTGTAAAAATTAGGTGTACTAGTGTACCGTTAGTTCAGTGATCTCTTGAAGCAAAAGCTTTAATTCAACTAGCACCCTAGTTCTTCCCAGCCAAACAAATGACAAGTGTTCCCGTTTATTATGATCTCGCGGGTCGAATGCTAAACGAGTTGCTGTTATGTAAGAGAGGAATGGAGGAGTGAAAGGGACCGCTCCCACGCAACTGACCCTCTCCTTTCCCCTTTTTCATATTTCATAACACATCGCCTTTCCAGTCCTTGTTCAAATGAACATCTGTATCAATGTCAC